ATTCGAATGAAGGGACATCCTAGTACGCTTGAACTAGCACCAACGGTACAGTGACTTTTGATTACTGTTTATCATTAGGAACCGGAAGTTCACTTCTGTTGTGGTTGGTTTGGTTATTGCTAACCCTTTAAACCTCAAGGATGACTAGCATCTAATTTCTCCCTACAGTTTGCCTCCTGAATTGCACATTTAGGTCATGAGAATAAAGGAAATGGTCACCAGGGAAGGAACCTTTTGATTGGCCAACAAATTCTCCTTGTCAGCACCTTAGGAAATGTATAAAGAACAGTGTGGAGAATATGCATACTGATGTTGGATGTAAAGGGTTAAGGGAGGAAAAGGTCAAAGGGTTCTGTAGAGAGTTAAACTAAAGACGATGGTAAATTTTAAGCTTGGTCTTCAAAGCAGATTTTTGTTTAAAAGTGAATTGTTCGCGCAAAAATTCCTTTGTGTCCTCGTCTCGAGCGTTTTAAAACTCGACTCGTGCATTGAGTTTTCGAGGATCGAGATCGAGTTACGAGGGACTGTCAACTTACTTTTCAGCGGTACTTTAAATTTCAGTTTGTAAAACATGCACAACACGAAAGACACGGAACAGTGTTGACAGTTTGAGAGTGAGCTTTGTTGTGAACAGTAATATCATGTTGGTTTTCTCCATGACTTTTAGCCTCCTCCTGTGGAACTGAAGCCCTGTGACCCCAAGAGCATGCTGAAAAGTCCACCGCCATTGCCAAGCCAGATGTTTGAAGGGACGAATGTTGGGCGTGGCAATGGGATTCCTACTGTGTGGGTGGGTGACGTTTACAAGGAGGGAAACCTTGTGACAACCGCCGGTCTAACAGTGTGGCATATTAACGAGTACAGACACTTTGAGGTACAGCCAGCACAACATGGACATTTCCACTCAGGTAAACACATCACTGCTGATAGTGTTATTTATTCTTGTATGGTTGTTGTTTAGTAAGTGGTTGGCGTACGGGGTAGGGAGGACTGAGTTCGAGCCATTGCCGAGTCTCTGTACCATTGTCTGAGGCAAAACACGTCAATAACTGAGTGCCTTTCTCCACGCTGGAGTTTAAACCTTCCGAGTGTCTGGCTTGTAATTTCGCCTTAGATTATCACTTTTAAATCAAATGTAAAGTTCATGAGAATAACAGAAATGATCACAAATTTAAGAAGCTCCTGATTGTCAAACAAATTCTTCTAGTGAGTACCACAGAAGAAGTAAAGAGAACAGTGGGGAGAAAATGGATGCTAATTTAAGGATGGAAAAGGTTAAATGGGTTGCTTGTGAAATGTTAGGAAAACTCGACTTAATGCCTTGGGGGGGGGGGGGAGATTTCAATGGATTAGCTGAGAGCAGACTTCCATTCAATGTCTTTAAGACGTTACTTTAATGTAGTATTTTGATGTTGCAGGGGAAGGCTACGTGATCAGGTGGGCCTACTTTGTGCTCGCCGACAGAATAGTCAAAGATCGGAAGTCCCGTTGTCGTTCAACCGTTGCTGGGCGCGTCCGCTGCGCTTACTTTTTCTGGCAAGGAAATGACTGTTCTGTGAATGAGAAGGGTGCAGCTGCCATCATGGCTGTAGAACTTGATGAAGAAAAAGGACCGCAGGTAACGATATGAAATTTGTATTGAAAGCCTTATCCTGGCGTAGTTTGTGTGTGCTGTCCCGTCTCTGTTTGCCTTCTTGCTTGCCTAGTTCTCTCGTCTTTTCGTCTGTCAGTCAGTATCTTCTTCTTTTGGCTGTTTTGTCTTTTTTTAAAATTTCTTTTGATTGGTTAGTTTTACCTCGATGATATCTTTACAGGTAAGAGTGGTGCAAGGAAAGGAAACTCCAGTATTTCTAAATCTCTTCAAAGGGGGAATGATTATCCATACTGGCAGGTACACAATTTGTGAACGTCTAATTTTGATCAGCCAGTAGTATTTGATTATCATTTATATTTGATCTTGAGCTAAGATATGTTCGATTGATTGTCTTCTCTGTGGAAAAAAAATCACTCTCGCAGCGCCTCTCTTCACAGAGGAGTAAAAATTGAAAAGGAAACGCGAAAATTATCCGAGGTGGGATGATGAAGGGAGTATCTTAGGATGGATTAGCTGCCTGTCTTAAAGGAGTAGCAATAATTTTACTCACTTTATTATATGGAAACCGGGATATGCTTCAGCGGTTTGGGCTATGAAGCTCATGCGCAGAAGTCGTCTTTGAATAATGAATCTGTATTTCAGATATTTCCTCAAAAATGTCCTTCACTGGTCAAATTTTCAGCAACCCGCTGTCCATTACACTAACACAATGCATGAATATTGGACGTCAATTTTATCATTGCGTTGCAATCAAACAGCAGAAATTCATGTTGGATGTTCTCAATCACGCTACCACGAACACAGCATTCGAGTGTGTTGATTCACTGGTAAACTTTATCATCAGGAGTCGAGATTATTCACGTATTCGTTGCATGTTTACATTATATATGTCCCATATATCATTTATCACGATTTAATTTGAATTGAATTGCAGTTAGGCTACTTGACTCGAGAACAGAAGCATCTCTCATTCTGTGTGAATAAAAGAGCCGATGAAAACTCATGTTGAGACCCGCCTGCGAGCAAGCCTCATTCTTAGCGCTGCAGGACGCGCGTTTCTCCTCTGCG